GTTCCACTAAATTGAGGCTAGAACTTCAAGTCAAAAAAACCATAGCAATCTGATCTAAGTAAAAATCCCTAGCCAAAAAAAGTTAAATGTTTGAGAGGTACCAAACTCAAAACTAACTTTAGTGGTGTGAGCATCTGAAGCTTTTTAAGATGCTGAACCATCATCCTTTAATTTACCTAATTGCTTGAGGAGACCTCGAGAAATTCTTGGCTTAACTAAACTCTTCTCCTCTGTTTTCTTTCTTTGCTTTCATAGTTGAAATAAATATAAATAATATAATATATAATAAATATTTCTAATACTACCGAATTTCAAATGCAAAATTCAACTCAATTATTTTACCTTAGCATTAAGGAAATGATTGCTATTGACAATGCTATTTTCAGGCACAAATGAAGCAATGAAAAAAATTAATTTCAGGAATTAGGAGTGTGTATTAACCAGATATAAACTTCAGTGTTTTTACTCTTGATAACTACTTACTTAAATTATTTTTAAGATATAATTAGGACAAAAAAACCCAACACTCCAGCCAAAATAAATAACCTCTACAAAAAACCAAGTTACCTCTCACCTGGTATTTTCTTGTAAAAGGGGCAGTGTTTTTTTCTTGGTTCTTCACCTGTAGTAGGTAATTCTTTAAATTTTTTTCTCCACCTTCGTCGACCACCAGAAGGTAGATCTGCTATGGCTTCATTTTTACTTGAACTTTCTGTAACTGCTTCCACATCTTCCACAGACCCCTCAGCCTTCCTTTTTTGCTGTCTGGGCCCCTTTCCATTAGGAGATACTGAATTTGATACGTGCTTTTTCTCGTTCAAACACGCTGCTCCTTTGCATTCCTCCTTCACTTTGGGTTTTAACCCAAAGAAAACACCAATGTCCATTTGCTTAAGTTCTTTGGCAGGACTGGATTTAGTGTTCATAGTTGCTGATGAAAAGGATGGCACTGATTTAGAAGAGATGGGGCTGGGAAAGCACACAGCAGCTGTACTAAGATTTCCTTTTTTCTCCACTGCTGTCTGCAAACTCTCCTGGAGAGCTGTTTTTTCAATTGCACTGGCAGTAACTTTATCTGAATGAGTTAAAATGTTACTTGGCTCCCTCAAAACATTACTCTTCTGTGTCAAAAGAGAGGCAGCATCTTCTCTGTCTAGCAGTGATGATGGCTCAGTAAAACTCACATATGCAGAATCCAGAGCACAAGCATCAGCATCTTCTGACTCTGTGGTTCCTGCTTTGGTAGCAGAGGAAATCAATTCTGGCTGTTCAGCCTCCTTATAACTGGAAGCAAAAGAGGATCCACAGGCTACCACCCCTCGCTGAGGATCTAGATGGTTCCCTGTATTTTCTTCCTCACAGAGGGTTCTTTCAGTTACAGAATTTTCCACTTTTGTATGCTCATACTGAGGCTTCCTCTGTAAGAGTTCATCAAGTGTTTTAAACACCACAGAATCAGAGTCTTCTTCTGAGCTCTGCACTTCAAATAATTTATTCTGTGATACTTTTACTTTCTCCTCCTCTTCATCTTCACTTTCCTCAAATGTACTTAATGGAGAGTAAGAAATTTCACAGTCATTGAAGTCTACTCCTGACTGTAGCAGACTTGGCTGACTTGTATCTTTCTCAATACACAGATCTTTTCCTGTTTCACTTTCTTGAGAGGATGCAAAATCAAAAAATTCAAATTTACAACGATTATCTGCTGTCTGTGGGAGCTGAAGTGCCTGTTGAGGTTTTTCAACACCTGCAAAAGAGGAAGTACTTCCACTAATTATATTTAGAGACTTCATTTGAGGTGAATTCTGTACCACTGCTGCACAGTCATCATTTGGGACGTGCTTCATTTCAGTAGAGGGTTTCTCATCCCATGAGGTTTCCTCTGCATAACTTGGGGAACAGCTGGGCTTTGCAACAGTGGGATATGCCATCTTCATGTCCACAGTGGTTCCCAAGGGGTTTACAAGATACTCCCCTGCCCTGTTTGCTGCAAGTAGAAAATGGCTGTAACGCTTGTAGTGAGATGGAATGGTGGAGGTGCACAGCAAACCATCAGGACACTCTGTGGAAAGAGTTAAACAAAGGTGCAATGTTAATACCTTTGCAAGTATAGTTGGCATAGTTAAAATAAAAATCACACATGACACAACATTTAGGAGTTTTTTCCTTACAAATACAGCTGCTGGAGAACAGAAGGCACAAGTAAAAAGTAATTTTTAAGCTACCAAGACTTCTTGCTCTGAGCTGAGAAATATGAGTGCTTCCAGCTTAAAACCAAATAGCTGCTGCTCATACAGCACTATGCCTGAATTACACAGCCCATTAACAATAAAACTTGACCCTGTTCCAATGCTGTGCTCCTGTAATCACATGGGCCCTGGTTTAGAAATGTCTTACAGTCAAGGAGCAAGCTCAGACAAGCAGCACCAGAAACAGACAGTACATTTAGAATATAAGTAACAAACAAATAAACCAAACCTCAATTCTGAATTAATCTGGAATTCCATTTCAAATTGTCTGATACTACACACTAAGGGAAAAAGAAAAAAAAAAGCTGTGCATTTACCTACATGAAGAAAACATTCAGCATTGAGATGCTAGGAAAAACCAAACATAGCCCTTTCCTAAACCTTTCCCACTGACAGTTTGCCAGCCTCACTTTTCAGGCTTTTAAAGTGAGTGCATACACCCATCAGAAGGATTTTTCACCTGTTAATTATGGGAGTAAGACAGAAACGAGGTGTTAAAACACCTGCTTTAAATTAAAAGCACTGCCAAAATCAGCATGAAAGGACTTAAATGTCATTGTTCTGAAGAACAAAATTCAAGGAAAGTTATCAAAATACAAAAAAGAGAGTGATTGCATTACCTAAAACAGCCTTTACTCACATTTCCTGACTGTAGGCTTTCTGTTTTACAAAAGTTAAGAGATGTATTAAGGATATAAACTGGATACCTGAATCTGTTCAGATATGGTATTTCCTCATGAAACTAGAATTTGGGTTGTGTCAGTTTTATTCCTCTTGTACAGAACCCAAAACAAACTGTTGTCTTATGATACAGGAAAGTTAATCTCTATTTCTTTATAAAATTTCTAAACCATAGCGGCCCACAAGCTAACATTTCAAGTAAATTAGCATTTCAGCTTCCAAATGTCCATAGACAACCGAACAAATCACATATCAACATGAATACAAGATAATGAAATCCATACCCACGGAGATAGAAGCTTCGTGTCAAAAGTAGCACCCTGGTGCCTGACACTGACTTAGTAATTGCACTAGGTTTCACTACTTGAAATATTGAACTGAACACCTTCAGTTTGTTCAATGAAATATTAAAACTTGATAAACAGTCATGAAACGTTCTCAGAGTTTTGAGATTAGATTCTGAAATGAGATTTTCATGTCATGTTCTTCACAATGAAGCAAAAATTTCATACAAAAATAGGACTGATCAGTGACAACATAATAAAGCATGATAGAAGTCAAACCAACTACCATTTCAGATTTTGGGCTGAATTAAAGAAAGCCAGGTTTGCAGCAACATTTCGCGAGAAGTCTGCAACTTTTCTCTGAAGGCTTTTTTCTTACTCTATTCATACCTTTTTCATTGGATCCTGGAGTTTCCAAACATTCATAGACGTGCCACTGAGGTGTTTGGACCAATAGCAAAGAGAAGGGCATCTGGCAGCTGGGACAGAATCCATCGTGAACCGGCTTTGTATTTTGTGAGCTCTGTTCTGCCAGGCTACTCTTGCTTTCCTGGGAGTGCACACTACTGTCTTCTTTACACTGATCCACGTCCTGACCTGGCCGTGAGCTCTGCTTGGTTTTCTGAGGTGTATCAGTTTTTTCTGTGGACTTCTTTTTCCTATTTCTCTTTCTTTTTGGCCTGCCCTTGCCATCACTTACTTCCTGCCCAGGAGTAGAGATGCTCTGTGAATTACTCCGAGACTTTCGCTTCCTAATGGATTTGTACTCCCAAATGTCCTCTTCCAATAAAGTATCTTCAGATGCCATCTTCACATGGCAACACATGAAATATTCCCCTTTCTTTTAAGCAACAGTTCACAAACCTGCCTTTCCTCCCACTAATATATTTTCTCTTCCCTCCACTCCTCACTATCTGAGGAAAAGCTCCACAAAACCATGTCAAAAAAGCAACACTGGGCCACAAACCAAGCAGGAGTCCCTGATGGGACAGGAACATGGTGGATCCTATCTCAAAAATAATTCAATAAGGGTTTCTTTGTACATTTGCAATTTCTCCTGTTCCACAGGGCCCGAGTTTGTAAGGCCTTCCAGGGTGAGCCATTTCCCTCAGCTTCCCCCCCGCATCGTAAGCTCCACCCGGCCAAGGCGGGGGCGGCAAGATTTTGAAGACTCCCTCCCGAGCAGGAAGATTTTAAAACAAAAAGAGGAAGAATTGAGCTACGGGGTCGTTGTCGGGGTGTCCCGGGATGCTCTTCCTGAGTGTCACCCGGAGTATCCTGTGATGCTCGTCCAAAGGGTCCCGGTGCTGCTCCACGGTGTGTCCCTGTACCTCCGAGCGTCAGGGATGCTCCGTGGGATGTCCTGGTGCCCCCGAATGTCCGGGATGTTCCGCGGGATGTCCTGGTGTCCACGAATGGCCGGGATGCCCTCAGGGATGTCCCGGTGCCCCTGCGTGTCCGGGATGCCCGCGTGCTCCCGAATGTCCCGTGATGTTCCCGGGATGTCCCGGGTCCCGCCGGTTCCGTGGCTGGCGCCTCCTCTCCCGTTCCCCGCCGCGGCCGCGCATTCGCTTCCGCAGGTTCGTCACCGCGGCTGTCCCTCAACTTCTCCGCTTCTCCCGTAATATACCCCCAAAAAATCCCCAGATCCCACCGTTTAAATTAATGGAGCCTGGTTTCGACTTTTTCCGGTTCTGCTCAATTTTTGCATCTTAAAAATGCTAAAGCAGCCGGGCGGGAAACACGGGCTGTGTTGAATCTGCTGCGTGGGAATCGCCACCGTGGGCTCCCTCTGGGAATGTGCTGCTGTGGATACCAAGGATACGTAAAAACAGGCAATAAGTGAGCAGCTCCAGCTTTCAGACAGACTAGCTATTGCGTGTCTGTGCTTTGTACTTTATTTTCTTTTTCAGGCGCGGTTTTCCGCCCCGGCGCCGCGGGCGGTGCCGAATGTGCGGCGGTGAAGCGCCAGGCCGGTAAACAGAGCCGGGTGAGGCGATGGCGGCGGGCGGGCTGGCGGGGCTGCTGCCCGCCCAGACACAGCTCGAGTACGCGCTGCTCGACGCCGACACCGCCCAGGAGAAGGAGAACCTGGTCTACCAGTACCTGAAGAAAATGGACAGCCGCGAGCGGGACCTGACGGTGCCCGAGCTCGGCGGAGGTGGGTGACGCGGCCCGGCCCGGGCGGGCCCGGCGGTGTCGCCGGGAGAGGCGGCGGAGCCCCGGCTCTCCCTCCCCGTGTGGGCTTCGCCTGGAGGTGCCGCTGCCTGCGAGGCCCCGTGAGCCGCTGTTTAAATGGCACTTGTAGCTACGGGAAATGTCACTCCTGGAAGCACCAGGAGCGAAGGGCAAGGCAAAAGAGCCCCTTTAAACATCCTCTCCCTGGTACTGGCTGCAAAATCACGTTCTCTAAAGCCTCTCTTCTAAATCTGTCCCCACCTGTACTGTGTATTTCTATCTGTCATAGTGAGAACCTTACTAACTCTGCCTGCGTTCTCCTGAGCTCTCTTGGTTTGCCGGAGCATCCCTTAGGATGTTCCCCAGCTCTCTTAGCCACTGTTGTGGATTTTCGTGCCCCTGGTAATACAAACTGTGCTGGAGATGTCATTAATCCTCCTGCGGTGGTCTGCCCCTTTCACACATTTCTCTGTCTGTCCTTTAACGTTTGAGAGACTCCCTGCAGCTATGGGAGCTCACATCATTGTGCGAGACCTCGGGGGTGAACTTCAGGGTTAAAATCACACATATCACGGCAATGAATTAGGGCTTTTAACCAGTGGAGCAAAAGGAATGATCTCTCTCTCTCCATTTGGAGCCCTGAATTGAATTTTAGCTTTTGCCATTAGTATTGTTTCAGTGTTCTGTCAAGGCTTATTTTCTCCTCTAAAAAGAGTTTAAATAAGTAGCCAATATCTATGAAAGGTATTTTAAGTCTAGTGAAAAGGAGAGAAATGCTATAAAATTATAAACTAACCTTGTCTTTTGAAAAGTGAACCGCAAAGCTCCTACACCATTGGGAATAATGCATATGCTTGAATTATTCTCATTATTCTCACCAAAGCTAAATGTATATGCATCCATTTATATTTATAAATATATGGAGACAGAGAACAGTCCTCCTCTTAGTGAAACACAAAACAAGCCTCCTGCTGACTTGAGTGGGAATAACTTCTGGGGCAGTAAGAAGTTATTTTCTGAAACTGTCAAAGTGAAAGTTCAAAACCTAGTTACTTTTGACTTTTATCATAAATATATTTGCCTTCTATAATTTTGAGAAATGCTAAGAGATAATACAGGCAGACCACATTCTAGGATATTTATTCCTTATCTTGATACCTTTGATGTGATCAGAGGGAGAAACAATGTTTTCATATATCAACTGGTTAAAATAAATTACCAGGAGTACTGTTGTGCATATCTGAAAAAGCTGTATTTCTTCCCATGTGACAGAATTAATTGATGCTGTCATTTCAAACTTTGAAAATCAAGATCAAAGCTATAAGCACAAGAATATTCCAATGATCTCTGAAATCAGTTCTTTACAAAACTGTTGATTTGGAAAAAATCATTAAGAGTTTAACACTTTCAAACTTTTAGTAGCCTTTATGTGAGTTTTAAATAATGGATTGTTACCCAAATGGCATTGTTGGGAGTTGAATAATGTAGATCATGTTTTAAAATGTATGAAATTTGTTCTGAGGCTTACATGTTCTTTTAATGAAAAAGTGCCTATGTAAAAATATAAATTACACTTTCATATTACAGTGGACCTTATTAATAATATTTTCATTTACTAATTATGAAGAATTGCAGAACATAAGGATGAGTTAGATAAATAAAAGACTTGGTTTGCTTTTCTCCCTGCATAATAAGGGATGTCAAACTCTTTTATTTTTTTAAAGTTAAAAGTACCAGGAGCATTGTGTGGTGTTGGTGCCTTTCCCTACCCTTCCCCTAACTGGCTCTCACTGTTCTCTGAATTCCAGATCTGCAATGGTTAAACACTGAAGGTCCTATTTCTCTTCACAAAGACCTTTGTGGAAAAGTTGTGGTGTTGGATTTCTTCACTTACTGCTGCATCAATTGCTTGCACCTGCTGCCTGACCTCCACGCCTTAGAGCACCAGTACTCTGATAAAGGTAAAAGTGCTTTGGCTGGCTCAGAATAGAATTTCCTGGCACTGTTGCAGGCTGAGGAGCTGAGTCACTTTGTTGCTGGTTACTAAGCTGTTGGCAGTATTTCAGGGGTGTCTAAAAATGTCTTCTAATCTTTTAAGTAGCCTAAAAAAGGTGACTGTATGTACTTCCATCACATATTTTAAAAATTTTAAATACAATATCTGTTGTGTATGTGTAATGAGACAAACAGGATATGTGCTTAAAGCCCAAATCTGATACATCTATAAATAAGGTGACTTTCAAAAAGCTAGTAAAAAATGTGAGATACGTGCTCAAAATTAATATAAGTAGGTAGCTTTCTACCCTTGACTGAGGAACCAGCTATGAGAAGAATATAGTACAGATGGTAGAATGGATATAGACAGGTGGTAGAATAGAATATAGATTACTTTTTTTCCCATTGGAACTGAAATAACAAAATATGTAAGCTTGATATAGAATTTTTTTGTATTGGCATCATGTTGTATACCATTAATAGCCCTGTATTCTAAAGAGGGAATTATGGTCTTTAAAGTCACTTCTGAAATGAGATCTGTCTCTCACTCTGACTGAATAAAAATGCAGAGTAATTTCTGTTTAGAATGCAGTGTCTTGTCATGAGATAAGCTGTAGTCTCACAGAGTGTCAGCTACTCACTTATCTGGGATCTGTTATTAGACTGAACAGGGAAATTAAGAACAGTGTTACTTTCAGTCCTAAAATACTGTATCAAATACAATATATATGTAGTAAATAACATTATAATATTTGGTTCTCCATTGCTGTTTCTGATTGGTTTTAATTTTGGCAGTGTTTATTTTCATAAGTTACCTTTTTCTCTAGAGAAGGAAAATGCAATACTTTTGAAACTTGCATTGTGCTTTAGATAGGTTACTTCGTACTTCACAGAAGATTCAAACTGATTTTTTTACCGTGGAAAGCTTAGATGTTTGCTTTGGAGAAATTTGAGATGCAATGTTATGTTTCAAATAATAGGAGCTTTGTCTTACAAGGAAAAACCTTCATGGCATTTTTTTTGGAGGGAGTCAGTTTTAAGTGGAAGGTGAATGGCAAATGATAAGTGAACTGTTGTATATCAGACGTGTTGGGAAGAAGGTTCAGGTACAGATTTTGGAAGATTATATTGGCATAAAACAAATAATACCTTTAAATGATAACTATTTTATAGTATACTGTGAGTGTAATAATATAGCTGTCATATCCTTAATCTGTTTTTTAAAGCTAAGGTGTTAAATCAGCTGATAACAAAATACTCATTTTAACAACCTCTCCCCACAAGCTTTCTCCTAAAAGTCCTTAAATATCTCTGTACTGGTGTAGAAGAGGCTGCAGCACTCTGAAGTAAAGGTCCACTTGGAGACATATTTTTTGCTTTGACTTGTATTAAACTTCTGTCACAGGAGTTACTACTTTTCTGATAGGTGATAAATTATTTTTGTATTTGAAATACCCCTGTAAGTTTTCTTTGGATTTCAGCTATCCTGTTCCTGTAGAAACTGGAGTGAGAAAAGAGATGCTTAGGGGTGAAAGTGGAGGTAAAAGGAAAAAAGAGCAGCTGTGTAGAACATTAATCTTAAATTTAAACCATTAGGAAGCAGAGGATAGCAGTTGGATTCAGGAAGAGATCAAGGTGCTTGATAGTTCAAAGAAAAAGAAAAATACACTGTTTTTTTCACTGTAGATCTCCTTTTTGGTTCTTTTCTGCTGTTTTTTCTTAGTTACAAGAGCAAGCCTTGATCTAGTTGGCTGTACATTGTGTACATACATACTCTGTACATGCATGCTCTGATGACTTTGTTTTAACGTGATTCAAATGCCCTTACATGGAGCATGTTGATCACCAAACAGGAGAAGTTTAAACCCAGGAGGCTATGTTAGGGTGATCCTAAATCATTACAGATATTATAGTACATGTGCCATAGTTCTATTGTCTGGAACTTCAGGAGATCTGTTTCAAAATGAAGACTGCTTTCCATAGGATTGAATGTCGCCCAGCATCTTTATCTGATATGCTCTCTCTGCTATCTTCAGTGGTGCTATTTCTGTATTTCAAGTGGCATTCAGAAAGTTATTTTAAACCCCAGTGCATATTCAGTTCATGTTATCAGCAGTTCAGAAATTACTTCTATAAGAGGAAGTACTTTTTAATATTCAGAAATAGCTTGGCATAAATCCAGTGTTGTGCTCTGCTGTAATCCTTCAAACAAAGTGTTTTAAATGGAGTGCATATTGTTACTTCTGAGCATAGCATCCATCATTTCCAGTTTTCCTCATGAGGGGATGTAGTACCTTACTTGTGCTGTTCAGGTGTTCACTGTAGAATTGTCTTTCTAGCTTTAATGATGTTTTTGAAGGACAGGTACAAGTGCTGGTGCTGATCCCTTTACAGTTAAAATATTTGACTTGCTGTTTGGATTTCAGCAGTTAATGATTTCACAACTTCAGCTGTCTGATACTGCAACATGCAGCAACTACAACAACACTTCTGCTCCAATAGATTTGATAAGACTGTAACAGTTAGAGTGACTCTTTAATTTTTTAAATGTGAAATTGTCATACTCAAGCCTGCCTTGTTTGTAATGAGAGTTATTTGTCATACTTGTCAGTGCTGCCATTTTTATTTGAAATACAGAATACTGTATTGATTTCAGAGGCCTATTCATTATATCTTTTACTGTTTATCTACAGGTAGATATGTCCAGATAATTCTGGAGCTCCACAATTTGGTATTATTTTTGTGCTTCTACTTTACTGAAAAAGAATTTCCTAAAGCACCATAATTGTGTATAGGAATAAGAAGGCAAAGAAATGTCTTAAGTATCTTAAAAGAGCCCCAAGTGTTAGTTGAACAGATACAACTTACCCACAGTTATTTTGAAAGTATTTTCTGACTTAGTATATAGAGATTCAGGAACTAAGAACAATTCATGTCAACCAGCTGGTTGGTCCTAAAATTGGGTAATTTTACTGAAGTGTTATTTCTGAGTTTCACTTTTTTCTATCTGTAGCTATCTATATTCCTCCTGAGATGCAATTGCTTTCTGTTTGTTCAAATACTCTCTCATTCTGGGAAGCAGTCAGTCAGATTATGAGATAACTGTGGTTCATTTTTCCTTTGTTTTGTTTTTTTTTTAATTCAAATATATTTCAGTGCACAACTTCATTTTTCGTTGCAGATGGTCTTGTTATTGTTGGTGTCCATTCAGCGAAATTTCCAAATGAAAAAGTTCTGGATAACATTAAAAGTGCTGTTCTGAGATACAATATTGTCCACCCTGTAGTAAATGATGCAGATGCAACACTGTGGCATGAACTAGAAGTGTCCTGCTGGCCAACTCTGGTCATTCTTGGGCCTCGTGGAAATATGCTGTTTTCTCTTGTTGGAGAGGGACACAGAGAGAAATTGTTTTTATTTACTTCTATAACTCTGAAATTCTACAAGGAAAGAGGGCAAATCAAAGATAACAATATTGGAATAAAGCTGTACAGAGACTCCCTTCCACCTTCTCCTCTGCTGTTTCCTGGCAAAGTGACTGTAGATGATTCAGGAGAAAGGTTGGTCATAGCAGACACTGGACATCACAGGATTTTGGTCACTCGTAAAAATGGACAAATTCTACACATCATTGGAGGTAAGGATATGCATGTAAGTTTATTATAGCAATTTCAGTTTAGGAGTAGAACATGTTTGCTGTGCCTCCTGGGTTGATTCTTTTCCTACAGGACCTGGCAGTTTATAAGCATTGCCAGAATTTTGTTGTGTACTAAAATCACTTTTACTCGATTTGGGGGATATATGTAAGAGCATCAGTGGGAGACTGTTAATGTAGTTGTTGGAGATGCCTAATTGTTTCTCATTGCTTCATTGACTAAAGATCATGTTTTCATGTGATGTCCAATATGAATTACAAAAATGCATTTTGTATTCCTCTGAAGGAGTTGCAAATGGTTTTAGGTGTAAAGGATGTACATCCATATCAATCAGCAAGGTAGGGGAAAGACTAGAGACTGTAATGCCTCCCCTTCCAATAGAAGTGAATGTTGAATTGTGGTGGTGGTGTGGTGAGGAGAGGTTTTTCATATGTATTTTTTGTTTGGTTATTGAGTTTTTTCAATGGAAGAGTATTCCTGTTTAGGATCTCCTCTGGTTTCAAAAGCAGAGGAGAATTGTTAAGATCAGTGGCATTCCAGTAACTACACAGGCACCTGAAAATGCAGTTGCCTTAGTACATATAAAAAAAACCTGTGTTCTCTTCAAAACTGAGGTGATAATGTATAAACAAGTTATGAAAATAGTGAAAATATTTTAAATTTAGTTAAATTTATTACAAAGTTTATTTAAGTAATATTTCAGCTTTAAAAAATAATATCCATGGTTGCTTTTGTGAAATAACAATGTGCTTTACAATGCAAATGAAGACAATTTGCACACTCTTCATATGCTTTACTGTTTCATGAATGAAATTGTTCTTTTTTTTTAAACTTATTAAAATGGTCTGTTACATCTTAGTGCAGCAAGTATGTAACTGTTAGGATAACCACAAGAGACAGATTTAGGAAGCAATTGAATCCTCAAATTATTGAAAACAATGGTTTGTTTATGTCTCAGAATCAGGACCTGTGTGCTGATGTGTCCTATATTCCTTAGTCTGGGATTGACTAATGCCTGTCCCAGGGCAGGATCCTACTAATCTCATGAAAATACTCTTCTTTTTAAAGAAAGGAGGAAAAATTCTCTTGCTATTTGAAGTAGCACTGTATTGGCTAGACAGGCTGTTTATCCTAGTTAACCTGATATATCATTAAGGCATTAGTTTAAATACCTTTCGCCTGTAGAATATGCAAACAGAATTTCTTATGACAAATATGAGAGAATTTGGTTTCTGCTTGATAGACGAGAAGAAGTCTCTGCCTACAAGCTACCCTTCAGTGTGCTGGGTCAGTCATTAGACAGGAATTCAGGAGTGTCCTAAGCTCCAAACTGGTACCCTCTTTCCTGTGGCATTGTGTGCTGCTCCCTTCCCTGGGTATGTGCTCTCTCACTTACAAGGGAAGCTGCTGGAATCTGACACACCAGTACTTCAGTCCTTTGTGTCTGATAAGGCCTAAATGGATTTCTGACAGGAGGTTGTAAAAGTTTGCGTGTTTCAGTGACTCAGTTAAATGATTCAGTGGGCAGAAAATAATGTAATGAAGTTGATAATGCAGTAATAAATGTGGGCATGCACAAAGGTTGAAATTGTTATTTGCATCATAAATCATGGTACACACATAACTCACACCTAAGTGTCTTCTGCTGACACATCCTGCTAATGCACTTCAGGTGTTACCTTCTCTGACATACAGTGCTTACCTTCAAATTGTTATGTTCCTTTTTATTTCCTGACTGTTGTATGCAGAAGACTGTCACTCCATCATTCTTCGTGTTCTTTTGTGTAATTAGCTCTGTAACATCTTTTTCCTAATTAGTTTTCTTAATGAGAAAATGTTGCTGATCAAATAGTAGTTTCATTTGTGATTACACCAAAATCTAAACCGATGAAATGGAATTGAGCTGTGGAATTTTTTTTCCTGCTGGCTTGCTTTGATGTAGTCAAGAAAAAAAAGACTGTAGTTTTTTATTTTTGTCTTCCATTGTTGCTGTTGTCTTTTAGTGCAATTTAGAACCCTATTAAGACTCTTCTAGAACAATTTAGAGCCCTGTTAAGGCTTGTCTTTAAAATATGAGCTTAAAATAGCAGAGAACTTGTGCAGAATGAGTTCAGAACTTAATAGCACCAGGCTATTTTGATTACATAGCACAGTCACTAAAATGAGACTACACCAAATGTAATAATGTAAAATGTACAAGGTACTGTGAAAGCAGCTCTTGCAATATGTAATTCTCCTAGAGGTTTAAATGTGTGCACTTTATTTTTAAGGAGACTTTTTTCAAAAATTACTTTTGAATTTGCTGTGTTTTATTTATAGGTCCAAACAGTGGAAGGAGAGATGGAGGATTTTCAGAGGCAGCTTTCAACTCACCACAAGGGATCGCTATAAAAAATAATGTTATTTATGTAGCTGATACAGAAAATCACCTAATTAGAAAGGTAAATTTTCCATGAGGAAATTAAAAGTTTAATTCTTCTACTGTGTTCTGCTTACACAGGTGAAAATTTACACCCCATGAATTACTCCCCAAATAACATCAGAAAGGAAATTTGTTGCACTATATTATAAAGAAGTGCTGTTGTGCAGGATTTTTTAAGGGCTACATATACTTTTTTACTTCCTTTCAAATGCAGATGAGGTGGGCTACTCCTTACACCAAACAGGGTTTTGGGTTGAGTTTGAGGTTTTTTTCTTAAATTTTCTTCCTATTACTTTTTCTTACTCTTACTTTCCTGTTTTGAGAAACATCTATTCTTAGTACTGGAAGCAAAAACTGGTTTTGTTTCACTTCCAGTAGTATCAGATTCTTATCTAAAGTTATTGTAGTGCTATGGTGCAGTGAATATCCAAACTTCCTTTGGCTCTCTGGGTCTCTCAAATACAGGTAACTGCCCTAATGCCAGAATTGACTGTGTGTGTGTTCTTTTTGATTAAACACTTGCAAAGTTTTAGCATATAGGAATTGGATCTTGCATTAGGTTAGGTCAAATTTAGGATAATCAGAAGGTTAGTTTGGTGATGCAATATAATATTGCCTTCTTATTTAAAGTATTATGTGTATCTCAGATCTTGGTCTTGGGTCCTCACCAATATCCCATTTGTGATGAGAGGAGGTGCACCCTTAATGCATCTGAGGTGTCTTTGCATAGATTATTTTATGTGGAGATGGGAAATACTGTCACAGTATGTGAGTTTTTATGTCATATTCCTATATGAATTTAAAATTTAAAAAACCCACATCCATTGTTTATCTAAGTATTTATGCAGAAATTTGTGATGTTTTCTTCTACAGCTGTTGAGCAAATGCTGACAGAGCAGTGTTAATTTTTGTTGCACATGGAATAGAGTTCCACATACATGGTTTTCATGCTGCCTGCTGCTTCCTCACCCCCATGCTCCCTGTCCATCAACAAGCATTGTGGCAAAATTAATTATTTCCCTAAAAAACAAATGCCTGATATTTGTTAGGATTTCTCTGGTTTTGACATCTCTACCAAAGTATCTGTAACTTTGATCAAGTTAATTTCATACATTCATTTAATGTGTCATTTTGCTTCACACAGATAGACCTGGAGCTGCAGATGGTGACCACTGTAGCAGGCATTGGGGTACAAGGTGTTGATAAGGAAGGTGGAGCAAAAGGAGAAGAGCAGCCCATCAGCTCTCCGTGGGATGTGGTCTTTGGAAGTTCAAGTACTGTATCAGTTCTGACCTTTAGCATCTCATATTTACACATGTGACTGTTTGCTAAATGTTTTCCTGTCTTGGTGTTAATCTGAGATAGAAGCAGTGAAGATTTGCTGTAAAACTGAGTCTAAAACACAATAGTTTCTATTGCAGATGGTAACTGAAGTTCTGATTTGGATCCTGAAATGTCACTTGATGGAAGAAAAATTCTTTTGTATCAAGTTATGTAGTTACTGGATCCAAACACAGAAGGAAATCATGATTACTTTTGTTAGGCCAGTGCCTTAAGCCAGGATCATTTAAGAAGCAGGTACATTTTACAGGAAGCAAGCTTTGTCTAAAAGTTCCTTTCCTTGACTATGCAGACATGTCCAACCACTTGTAAATATTTGAGTTTAGGAAATAAAAATAGTTTTAGTTGGGGACCCCTGTTTATTCCTGTTTAAGTGACATAAAATCATTAGGTTCAGGATCACTATAGAGTCAGATAGGAGAGGAATACCTCAGCACAAACCTTGCAAGCATCAGGAGGTAAAATAAATCTTTGCATAATAGGATGCAAGAATCACCTTCTGAGGACTTAAGTAGTTTTTTTTGACTTAACACCTGGGCCTGGCATCTCATAGCTGCCATGTTTTCAGCTGCTGCTGACTGTGAGTCGAAACACAATTTTCTCATGTTTCCATTTAAATCTAATTTAGAAGTTGCAGCGGCCAATTTATTAACAATGCTTTGATGTGGCATAAAACCCTTAGGTTGGTATTTCAGACATGAAAGATTGACTTCCAGTATTGGGATTTCTTTAATCTGCAGATGAACAGGCTGGGGAAGGAGCATGATTTACCTGTAATATCTTGAAATTAGAGGTGCTTTGCGAGTTTAGTAACATTTTACTGACTGGAAGCATTTGTTACAATCTTGTGTCAGTTATGAGGGAGGAAGGTACACTGAAATGTAAGGGAACATAAAAGCACAGAATGGTTTGGGTCAGAGGAGACTTTAAAGACCATTTTTCCCACCTTCCTGCCATGGGCAGGGACATCTTCCACTAGACCAGGTTGCTCAAAGTCTCATCCAGCCTGGTCTTGAGCAATTCCAGGGATGGGGCATCCACAGCTTACCTGGGCAACCTGTGCTAATTCCTCACCATCCTCACAGTCAAGAATTTCTTCCTAATTTCTAATGTAAATCTGCCCTCTGTAAGCTTGAAGCCATTTCTCCTTCCCCTATCAGTGCATGCCTTTATCAAAAGTCCCTCTCCAGTTCTCTTTTAGCCACTTTATATACTGGAAGGTGATCTAAGGTCTCCTAGAATCTTCTCTTCTCCAGGCTGAGCAAGTCCAGCTCTCTCAGCCTGTCTCCATAGCAGAGGTGCTGCTCCAGCCCTCAAATCATCCTTGTGGCCTCCTCTGGCCTTGGTCCAACAGGTCCATGAAGCTGGTTCAGAAATGCTGATAGTGTAGAATCTTCTGGTACAAATACATTGTCAGTATAGACAGAGTACAACCAGCAGCCTTGAGTACTTGAGTGAGCAACTGGGATATGTTTTCAGATTTAAGTACCTCTATTAACATGTCTTGTACATAAAAAACAAACGCCTTTTTTCAAAGGTCTGGTCAGCAACTCTTCCCATCTGTGTTAAGCATATGGAATCCTACTTGGAAGAGCAGGGAGGAGCACCTGAAAGATAATCTCACTGGATGTGGGCTGCTACTAATGCAGGCACAAATTTTACTGAATTTTAGAAATCTGATTTTCCTTTTGTGAACCAGGAGACTTGTGTGGCTAGATGGTGTTGTTTTCAAGAGATCTTGAACCAGAAAGCTGATCCCTGTGGGATGTTATTGCAGAGCTGTTTCACAGATCAACAAAGAGGAGACTAATAACTGGTCAGTGCTTCAGAAATTTGAGCTGGTTAACAGAACTATTCAAAATATCCTATCGTTTTAATTTTTTATTGTGTTTCTTCTGCTTCTGTCAGTAGTTAAATATATGATGATTTTTTTTTAGTTTTGAGAGCTCTGCTTGTTAAATGTTAATTGATATGATAATTGTTATCAACATGAACATAGTATTTACTGAGTTAGTCACCTGTAGAGGATTAGTCATCTGTACTGTTCAACACTAACTGCTGAATTTTAATTAGCATTTGTGTAGAAATCAGATCTTCTAAATGCACTTTGTTCAGACCAGTGCAGATTTTTTTCATCTTCAATTAGAACCTACTAGTCAGTTGTCTGTTTAGATTGTCACAAAATAGAAAATAAACAGTCAATTAAGCAGAGATTAAATCAATTTAAATTCTTTTTTTTAGAGGGTAATAAGCCTAATAGATAAACTGGGGAAAAATATACATTACTTTAATAGCAGTAAATTCTAAAATTCTTTAGAATAACCAGAGAGTGTTGTAAAAACAGAGAGTTATATTGAATGGAATGTTAACAGGAATCTGTCCCAGAGCATGAGGAAGCAGGGCTGCAGTGCATGTCTAACAAGCATTTTTTACTATCAGAAGCTTCAGTGACTGAAGTTTGTTGCCAGACATCAAAATAGTTTGTCAGCAATGCAGCAGTTTGCCAAGGTTGCATTGTTGAGTTGCAAATTGCTAAGTTGCAACTCGCTTGAGCATAGTGGGATCTTCTGCAGTATAACACAGAGTGCATTTGTGCCTCTCAGAGTGCTGTCCTACAAGCCTGTACCCTGTTGTCAGAATATTAAAACTGGTCTGCCAGTGTCTCTTTAGGCATTTGGATGGAGGAAGTAATTTATGAGAGTTTCAAAAACTACTTTTGTTTGCACCCACACAGCAGTGTCCTTTATTTTACATGTGCTTGTATCTCTCTGTGCAAGTGCAGGAGTTAACGTGCACTTCAACAAACCTTGGTTCATTATTACCAATCTTGAAAGTTTGACTTTTGTGTTAACTGGTGTGGCATGTGGGAAATAACACTATACCTTCCCATTTTCCTTAGATCTATGTAGCTTAAATCTGTGCAGTTTCAGAAGATAGATTTATAGTTGCTTTTTAAAATATGAGTTTTGTAATTTTTAAACAAGTGATACTTCTGGGAGTTTCCTTTCAGTGTCCAAAGCCATGTTATCCAGAACATGAAAGGGAGAAAAAGTAAGCTGAAATGTTTCAGCATGTTATGTACTACACTAGATAGTATTAGACAGCTTATACTGACCTTTTTCAAAGTCTCAAAGGGGAAAGATTGCCTCTTAAGAGAAAGGTTTTTTTCCTCTATCACTGACATTTCTTGAGTTTACACCTAGATGTGATTTAGAGTATGTATTGACCAACTGAAAAATTACTTTTTCTTTAAAACCCTAATATGTAGGTGTTTCAGAAATGGAAAGTACTGAGAAAAACTTTGAGGACATGGATTAGTTAATATTCAGAGCTGATACTATGTAGCATTCTTTTAAGTATCCACTCAGTATTTTCCTAGGTAGGCTTTTGTTGCCCTGTTCTATATTGATGCTGAAATCTGAGACAGAGATTGAGTGTGAAACGCCATTCAAACGAAATTTGGCACAAATATCTCCCTTTGAGGCAGAGGAGTTAATGGAGAGAAAACAGATGGTAGGATTCAGACAGAGTATTCTTCCTTGTCATATTTATTTCTTTAATTGTGGCCACTGAGCTTGTGTTTTACCCTCCTGTTAAAATTCTTGAATGAACTGCATGGATTAAATTCCGGCTTTGCTGAGGTTGGTGCTGAAATTTGCATAGATTGTGTGGGAAATAGAAGGGGAGGGAGAGCAGCTTAAAAATACATTACAAAATTGCTGTGTGCTTTTTTAGCTTTCTCTGTTGTGCCCTTCTATTTTTATTTAGTGGGTGTTGAAAGCAAGTGATACTTTAATGCACAGTTGATTTGAGCATGAAATGTTCTTGATAGCTGCATTCTTGCTGGAAGGAGCAGGACAATGACCTGTGCTTGGTGACATAACCGTGTGGTTCACATTCCAAATTCTGGTCTTAAAGTGCATGATTGTAATCTATTTATAGAAACTCCCAAGTACAGTATTGACCATACTTTCAGTAAACTTGTTGGAAATTTTTATATCAGTTTAAGGATTACGTAGATATGATTTAAATGAAAGTACAGTACCTTATCATACTGGTGCACTTTTTATAGCCCTTAAAAGGCAGAAGTATGTATGATATTTTTTATCCTTCTCTTCTCTGTATTTCTGCTAGAGGGTTATTTGGTACCACTGCATTCCAGAGCAAAAGAGCAAACTTTTTTTTTTTTCCTGTATTAGTCATGGTGATTCTTTCAAAATGTAAAAAAAAAGTTAAAAAACACTCAAGCAGCAAGCAGTTAGCACTTCCTGCTTGAGCTCAGATCATACACGAAGTGTTTATGTCTGAACTGTCTGTATGTTGAAGGGATGCTTTCTTCCACATGTCACCCTTTTTCCTTCTAATTTGGTCTCATTGTGTCACTGTCCTGTGAAAGGAATCTTCCTGGATAATAGTTGAAAATAAAAGAGCTGCATTTGCTATCATCAGGCTTTAGTTTGGAATCATTTTTTCTAGACAAAGCAAAGCTAGAATTCTTCCAAAGATATGTTGTATATGTGATATGATTTCATGATGTAGCAATGTGGATTTACTTGGAATGCAAAAGGCCTGCTCATCTCTTTAGCAGTTTCCTATGTAAAGTACAAGCTCAAAGATAACCCATTTGGCTTTGCCCTTATACAAATTTAGTTCCACAAAAAATCCTGGTAAGAGACGTCACTGACACCAGACTGCATTGTCTTTCTTTTCTTGTTGAGCTGGATCCTAAATTACTTGTAAATAGCGATTAGTTTTTATTTTAGATTCTTGGAATTTCAGAAAAGAAGTAACTTCATTAAAAAGAGGGGTGAAGTGAAGTGAAGTGAAAGATTTATAGTGAGGTTTTATTCCTGTGTAAGAACTGTTTTAGGTGAAAAAGTCTTTTGAGAAATAAGAAAGTAGGAAGTTAGGGCAGGATTGCAGTGGAGCAAGACCTTATCCAGTCTTACTTTGGGTTTCAGTATTGCTGAATAGTAATAGTAAAAAAAAAGATTAGTATTTTGCATGTTCATTATAGAAATAGGTTAAGAAATTAGGTACTTAGGTCAATATTTTAGTATAAACATGCCTGTGACATACAAAGTCTGAAGTCTTGATGTAAGGGTATAATGGGAGAAGTGACTGAATATTCAATGATAATCTTACTCAATTTAGTTTGACAGACTGCTTTTCTAAGGTGGACTTCTCTGTCTTGACAAAATGCATAATGACAATGATTACTTTCTGAAGTAAAAAAGAAGCAGATTAGCAGTTGCCATCCTAACAGGTATCAAATTTAGAATCGTTTTGAAGTCCATGACTTGAAACTGCCTTCTGTAAAAAAAGTATTATATTTGTCCATGGAGTGATGGATTTCATTCTCTTTGTTCCACAGTCTATAGGGTGATTCTATGAATAAAATCTATGTTCACAATTAAGAAGCTTAAAGTACAAATCAGATTTCTAATGAGTAATTGGAATATCAGTTCTCCATTTCAGATGCAAAACTGCTGAAAATACACATCTTAACAAGACTTAGGCTTTGTCAGGCATGCTGGGGTCAGAAGGAGACACATTTTTTAACTTTACCATTTGAGGCTGGAAGTGCTTTTGAGTATGGAATGCAGGTGTTGGAAGTCAGAGAGACCGTGGTGCTGAAGTATCCTCCAGCATGTCTTTGCTGTGCTTAATTAGGAATGAGTAAAACATAACCAGACTTAGCTCCTTCTGTACTTATAATGATGTATCCCAACACTAAATCCAAATTAGTTTTTTCATGTTTGCAAATGCTATCTCTTCTGCTTGGGATTTTTTTGAAATATTTACTGCTATTACAGTTAGAAGGCCTGAGTTAGAAAACTTGGGAAAGAAATGAAAAGTATTTCATTACAGTCATAATTTTTAGCTCTCTGTTATCCCCACAGTATGAAACCCCCTTGGTATCTAAATCCAAGGATTTTCCTTAATTAGAGTGAAGGTATGCTAGCTAAGGAGGAAAATTCCAGGAGCATTTTGTTTCATAAAGGATCTTGCTGTTTGTGTGATGCAACGCTATGTGAAAGAGTGCCAGGTAGCAAAAGAAAAGAAAGAAGAAAACTGATTTTTTAGTCATCCAAAAAGGATGATGTGACTTGTAGAAGTCCAGGCCTCACTGATAAAGCATTCCTTTGGAGCTTTCCTGTTTGTGTCTCACTGAAGAACACTGATTCTGTATTCTTCTGTCACATTCGTACTTAATTTGCTGAACTTCAACTGACTGAAGAGCAGGTGAGACATGCATTCACTGTGCACATACCTATCTGTGAACTGCAGGGTGTGTTGTGTAGCCCCTTTTGCTTCTTGAGAATTTGCAGAGGATGAGTTTACCAACAGACTTCTTCCTTGGTTCTTTTTATTTCTTCAAAGATAAAATTAGTAGACAGAATAATATTTTCAGATTTCAGTCTATTTAGAAAATGTCAGTGGTGCCAGCCACAAAATGTAACTTTGATTCCCAGGCTTTTAATTCCCAGACTGGAAGTAAGCATGCAGTCCCAGACAGGGAAGTTGGAAGTGTGGGTAGTCCTGGGAATGGAATCCCTTCAAACAGATACTGCTCATGACTGGTGCCAAACAAAGTAATTTTTGTGCATTCAGATTGACTCACCAGTAACATTCAGCAGTGTTCTGACTGCTTGAGGATATGCCTGTGTACAGACAAGACTATGAATTCCTAACACAAATACAGCAGATTTAGGAGCTGCAGTGTTGTACAATAACTGGGGCATCATCTAATGGGGAATGTTTGTGCACTCAGAGCTGTATTCACTGTTAGTGAATGTTTATGATACAAGGATATCCCATTTGCAAGCCATACCTCACTTGAATACAAGCACACCACAGATAAGAAAGCACATACCCTAATAAGGAGAAACTACTCTGCATTTTTAAAACAGCTCAAGATGGGTTGGAATGTGGTGCTTAATTGAATAAATGTAAGAGAATTGCTTTGTTGTCTTATGTTGTTCTGTAATAAATTCTTTAGAAACAAATACTTTCCATTCATGGATGATAAGGAATTACAATAATGATAGCATTCCCATAATTTTAACATTCTGGCTCTCCGTGGCCTCCTTCTTCTATGAGAACTGTACAAGGATAACAATGGTGATGTCCTCAAACTGTTCTATCATGAAAGAAAAAGGTTTTCTGCCTTTTGTATCAAAACATAAAGCATTAAACCATGTGAGGACTATTGTGTGATAAAATATCTTAGCTGTGTAACATTAATTTTCTGGGTTTGTGTAATTTTTTTTTTATTAAAGCTCTGACGTATTTTCCACAATTTCACAAAGAGCTTGTAGTGTTTCCATGCTTGCATCCATTCTTTTTGTTCTAACAGTCATCCAGTAGAAAATACTTGTGTTAAAATTTATGACAGTTATGGAGCTCTTACTTATTTCTACTGCCTTATTCTCTAGTTGAAGAAGACATTTTCTCTCTATCAATCTTATATATTCAGTAAAATTTGAATTTAATATTGATACTTTTTTCTCATATTTCATACGTCTTGCTGGGTGCAGAATTAGAGTAAGAAGCCTATTCAATTTTTCAACATGTAGCTGTCACAGGGGAGTTTTCAGTCTGTGGTATTAGAGAACTGGATAGATGAATGGAACAGATTTTTCAACAGTACTCATTTCAAGTCTTACTCCTTCATTTAATTGGTGGATAAAGTGAATATTAAATAATTAACAAAACTTTCTGAGATAACTCAGAAGGAATTGCATAGCATAGCAAGATAAAAAGGCTCACTTTCTGAATAGACCAGTGATTTTAACAGTTTTCATTCTGAGGTACTTAGAATAGTAACATCTGAAAGTGCAAGATATGCATAATGGAAATAGAAAATCCTGAAGCTGTGCAGTTACTATATAGGAAGGAGTGAAATTATTTCATAATCTGTTTTCTCAATTTAAATCTCTTAGAACCGAGCTCTAATCAAAAATGATTGGGACAGTGAGGTGTTGTTTTCATTTTTTATACTGAAGTGTTTTTGGCATTGTTGGAACTTTGGTAACATTTCTGGTAATTTATAAAATGTGTGTTTTGCAACTCAATTTGCAAACCTTTTTGGATCAAGAAAATGCATTAAGGCACTTTGCAAATTTGACTTTAGTTTTTTGAGCTCTAGTTTATGTAAAAACATGGGGCCACGGGGAGGTGCAGAAAAGAGTCACCAGAGTTACTTTGATAACAGTCTTGGGAACTTGTATATTGATCCAAGAAACAGAAAATGCTGAAGAAAGAACTTTGTTAAAATCATACCAGTACTGTTCTGAAGAGAGCTCACAGTTTAAGGATATTCTTTCTGGAGAAAGAAGGATGCCATTTTTCTCCTCTTGTGGTGTGTAGTGTAGAAAAGATTTAGGATTAGAAGAAGAGTGGCAGGATCTCAGTTGGGGGAATGGAGGTAATTTCATTTTTTTGCACTAACTTGTCAGATTTTAAATGCTTGAAAACATTTTGCACAGTATTGCTTTTAATTTGAAACTCCAAAATCTTTTTTTGTTCTGGGGGAAATTATCCATGAGCTTATTTTCAGGAACAGCTATGAGATGCAAAATGCTTTACAAGTTCATGCGAATAAAACATTTCTGTGAGCAGTTTGAAGGTATTTTTCTGTTGACTGGCTGATGGTTATGCCACTACCTAATATATTTATTTAGAAAAAAATGTGTTGATGTTGTCTGTAACTACATGGGACAGTGTTAAAAAGACAATACTGTCCTCATTTTAATGCAGTTTTTGAATGTCAATTTTCTATTCCTTAAGATTTTCAGGAAAGACTAAGGTAAGTAAATTTATTTTGCTTTTGGGTTGTTGGGGAGTTTTTTCATTGTCTTTCACAACCTGCCTTCATGCATTTTTTACTGCTCTACTGTGATTATGTTTAAAGCTATAGAGTACAATATATCCTTCAATTTCCACTTGTATAATTTTCTTTGTGAAATATTATATGGGAAAGCTTTGTGTAGTTATATATAGATTTGGATTTCTGAATAGTAATTTTATACTTCAAGTATAAAAAAACATAGGTGCTTGACACGTGCTGGAACACTTCTTGACCAGTAGGTCACTGTTCCACAGATCTGCATCTTGCATTTGAGACACCACATTTACATGTACTGAGGGAGAACAGCTTGGAAACTGAGTGGTTACTTCAGGGGGAAATGAGGAAATGCCCAGGTCACATCTAATGTTTGAATAAACTGCAGCTGATGCTCTCCAGGGCAAGCATCAGTTACCCTTAGCTTAAGACATGATGTTCTTTGTGTATAATGCACAATGGTACTGCCAGGTTATTTCTTTCAAAACCTGTAAACACCTTCCAGCAGTATTTTGGAGTATCTAATTTTGTCACTAGTGTAGTAAAAAAAAAAAATCAAGATTGCCTCCCACAAAACCATGCTTAGCAAAGATAGGTACTTATTTATTGGCTGGTATGAATCAAAAATAACATGTGAAACAGGCACAATAGTATAATGTTGCAAAGAGCAAATCTCACTTGAAACATTGCCTTTATCAGGTAGGGATATTAAAAACATGATTTTTAAACCCCTGGGAATAAAATAGCAAGAAGAGACGAAGAAAAATAGCAAGTTTTGATAGATGAAAGACATTCTTCTCTCTCTCTTGCTCTGTTTTTTCGGTTGTGTTTTATTTTTTTCCCCTATGGAGAAGATGAGTAGGGGGTGGAGGGGACAGCAGGGTTGGTTTGATGATTTCTTTGTATTATAAAACATTTCCAAAGTGGGGTTTTTTTAATCTGCTTTTCTGTGTCCCTTTCTAAAAGTTTCAGGGACGCAGGAAGATGATGTGTTATGGATAGCAATGGCAGGCATTCACCAGATATGGGCACTGATGCTGGAAGGTGGAAGACTACCAAAGGGAAGGTAAGCAACTGCACTAAGAGAAATGTGAAATTGCTGCTTGTCATGATAAGCAGCTTACAAATCCCAGGGAGAGAGATAATCAAATTAAACTGAAAATAATTTAGTTTAAAGGCTTATATGCTTAAAAGTCTGCCTCATTTTCCCACATCTGTTAGATGAAATGAAAGATGCTACTTTAGCTATACAGCTATGACTTGGTAAGGTCTATTCATATAATTGAATGTTACTTTTCCTTGCATTTGCTGAGTTACCTAGTAATGAATGATGTGCTGAGGTGATATAATAGTTAGCACAAAGGCACTCAGTAATGCCTCACTGCTGCATTACAGCTGGTTTTATAACTCACAAGTGCCTGTTCTGTAGCTTCTGTTGATGCATCTTGTCTGAGCCGTTTCAAAGCCATGATTGAATTTGGTGCTCTTTGCCTTTAGTGACTTAAAGAAAGGAGTCTGCCTGCGCTTTGCTGGGAGTGGCAATGAGGAGAACAGGAACAACGCTTACCCACACAAGGCAGGGTTTGCCCAGCCCTCGGGGCTCTCCCTGGCCCCAGAGGAGCCCTGGAGCTGCCTGTTCGTGGCCGACAGCGAGAGCAGCACCGTGCGAACCATCTCGCTCAAGGACGGCGCCGTGAAGCACCTTGTAGGAGGAGAGAGAGACCCATTGGTAATCACCTCAAACTTCCCCACACTGCCCTACTAATATTCCTCAAGCCTGACCTGGAGGAGCCACTTTTGGGGTGAGAGGGTAAATCAGTTTCCGTGGCCATCAATTTCTTAACTTCACTGCTTGGAATGCAAATGTGTGGCAGTTGCGGCGCTCAGGTTGTAGTGCAGACTGTTGCTCCTTAGATAAGAAATTACTTCACTTATTCTTAAAATAGCCAGATTGATTCAGCATTGTGTGGTTATTAAATCAGCTGGATTCATATTTATAACTTAGATGTGAGAGTTTCCATTTCTGTGGTTAGCATCCCCACTTCCAGGTTTCCAGTATTCTTGTTTTGAAATTGTCATGATTTTTTTTAAAGTCACTGAATCTCCATTTAATTATAATCATTTAAATTCATGTCCACATTGAATCATCAAATCTATTAATTAAATAAAATAATTTTTCAGAATTTGTTTGCTTTTGGTGATGTGGATGGAGCAGGCATAAATGCAAAGCTGCAGCATCCCTTGGGAGTAACATGGGACAAGAAAAGAAAGCTGCTTTATGTGGCAGATTCCTATAATCATAAGGTAAGTGTATAGTAACTTTTACATACAGACTTGGAAATTTTTATTGCTACAAAGAATTATTTTAGTAACATAGACAGGTTTTGCTTGGTCCTGTTAAGTTGAGGAAATTAATTACATGAGTTCCTTTGTGGGTTCTTTTTCTTTCCTTCCTTCCCTTCTGGGTCCTTCTCTTTACCATTGTTTTGCTGTCACATTCTTCTGTGTTGATATGATGGTCTCTTGGGGAAGGTGAATTTAAAGTGCCAAGTTACAATTCAGACTAAAGACTTTCTGTGTACCTTCCCAAAGATGATGAACTACAATAAAAGAGTTAAAAGGACTTATTCAGAAATACTGCAGGTTTGATAAAACTGAGAGGACAAGAGGACTTGTTTTTCCCTTAAAAAAGCTAAATAAGTTTTAAGAAGTATTGTGGGTTACCTCCATGGATCTCTGGGATAAGAGACATTGTTTTGCATGATTGTTCTTATGTGATATTATATAAGCATTCATATCTAGAAGGTTTTTAACTGTACACTGACTACATGCATTAAAAGAGAAGTAATCTGTTTGATTGGATGAGTAAGGTATATAACACGGAATGCTTATTGAAATTTTCAGGCAAATGTTTCAGATCTTGTATAAGACATTATAAACTTTTTTGCTATTTAGAAAAAACCCATCTATTTGTAGAAGAAAAATAATCTAGAAATTAGCCTGCCAATTTTGCTGTGCTCTCACTGTTTTGCAGATGTTTCTAGAAAGGCAGCAAACATTAGAAAAACAAGTCATCCAGCATACTTTTATTGCTGAGGGTTAGGTACCTTCAAAATCATGGAAGGGAACCCTGAATGAAGACCACAGGAAGAAGTGAAGTCCATGAGGGAGTGGGGAGAAGGAAAGATGGGACATGTCACTTGGTAAAGAGTGATAACACAACATCTAGGATGCACACCTGGTAGCTGAGGTACTCAAAAAGTAGGGCTGGCTACTGGAAATGTGGGAATTGAGATTATACAGAGCACCTAAATCCTGCTGGGTTTTCTCACAGAAGCTTTTTGTGTTTTTGTCGATCTTAGATTAAGGTTGTGGATCCCAAGATGAAGAACTGTGCTACCCTGGCAGGCACAGGAGAAGCAGGCAATGTTGTTGGTTCCAGCTTTACTCAGTCAGCTTTCAATGAACCAGGAGGTTTGTGTGTTGAAGAAAACGGCCGCCTGATGTATGTTGCAGACACAAATAATCATCAGATTAAAGTGCTGGATTTGGAAACAAAAATTCTTTCCATGGCAAGTAATACTTATTAAACAGGCTGATAGTGGTGTTTCTTGATATAAATTATTATTTCAGACTTCAGCAGCTAACTTTTGAGACAGCTAACTTTGGGTACAGTTGCTGTATCCACAGGATGTTTTGTGATGATCAGGTAAATAAACACTGCTTGTTAGCACAGTTATTGAAAGCCTTGGTCTTCAGAAAGACAACTTTTGCATGAAAACAGAAAGTGACAACCCTCTAGAAAAGGTTAATACAGAAACGTCATTCATTAAAATATTCAGCCCAGTTTTTCAGCATGAAAAGCATTTCATGAGCACTTTGTAAAAAAAAGGGAAGTGAAATCAATTACCAAGTCCTGTAATAAGCTGTAAGAGATGATTTTGGGAGGTTAATGACTCAAAGTAAGATATATAAAGGGCTTTCAAGTTCTCAAATCAAAACTACTGTCAAAGTTGTGCACAGCTTTATTTGATTGTAAACAAACCTGTGCTCATGGCCACCTTACAATGCTACTATATCTTAATGAATTTTTTCAATGTATATATACATAAATTTATGACATAATGGCCCTAATGTCTTCTCATATATTTCTTGCATTTAATAATACACGGTCTCCATGTGTGTTTTAAGTTTTTATATCATGTAATGTGTTGGTGGCTTTTCTGGGAAATTCTCCTTTATTTTACTGTGCAATGTGCATAGTTAAAATCCTGGCTTTTATTACTAAAGCGTGCAGTTTAATACCAGAATTAGAACAAAATACATTTACAGTTTATCTAAAGCAAAACTGTAAAAATTTTAAATTAAGGGATATTATAAAGTAGTTGTGGTTTTTATGGCTTTAATAGTAAATATTGCTTTTAATTGGTTTAATCAGGGTTTTTTCATTTTAAGAAAACATTTTGTCCTTTCCTTTTTTTATTTTGTCATAGTATTGGTGCACGCTGTCAGAAAGCTTTAGGCTAATAGCCATATGATGTCACTTTGAAACTGTGATTGTGTTGTGAAAGCCCATTTATTTTCAGTACAAATAAAAATAAATATTTTGTTTGATTTCTTCTGATAGTTGCCTATCGTGAAGCCAGAAGCATGTGATGTTCCAGATAACCTGCCTGTGCAAAAGGATAAAATAACAAACCTTCCAAGACTGCCTAAATCTGCACCAAATATTCAACTTCCTTCTCTAACTGTAGCTCCTGGCCAGATAATTCAGTTTTTATTAAAGTTGACTCTTCCTCCGGATTCAAAACTGAATGAAGAAGCTCCCAGTGCCTGGTTTATCACAGCAGAAGGTAAAGTCCCTGTTAGGATGGCAAGTGGGATATATCAGCACATCCTGCAGTGCAGGGGGTCTCAGTCTGATGAATCAAGACATCCCTCCCTGTCCTGTTCCTGTTTGACCTTGTGATGCAATACATGATATTTAGAGGTGATGCATTTAACAGCTGGAGTGCAAAGATTGAAAAAAGCCAAACTCCTGGTAGACTGCTTTTTGCTTGAATTAACACATGCTGCATGATTTTGTAGCTCAATGCAATGGGTTAGGTGTATGTAGTGCACAGGTCACTTTTTGGTTCACATACTCTGAAATATTTAAATAAAAGTGAAACTCAAGTTTCATTCTAACAGTCAGCCTGAGCATTGCTAAATTACACCAACCCATCTATAAGACCAACACTGCTATTTGGAAATGCCTTCATTTTACCTACAGTTTAATGCATTTATGCCAGATATCCTACCTGGTGTATTAGATATCTGATTTAAATGTATAGTAGCCGCTAATTTAAGAAGTTTTACTTGTGCATATCAGAATAAATTTTAATATCTTTTAAAGAGTGTATAGGAGAAATTGCAGTTCCATTGCATTTAAATAAGATGTACTGTATATGTACACCTGTGGTGCTGATGCAAAGCCGTGGATCTCTCCATCTTTAAATGACTGATAAAGCATTAGTAAATTACTTTTCCTTCGGTTTTTTTTCTGTTCACGACTGGAAAAATCAGGGGAAATTTCCTCTGATGTTGCATGTGAAAAGTCCTTGTTGTCCTATAGGTAGAATTAGTGTTTTCTCTAGCTTTCAGACGTGGTTTTAAATACCCTAACGATAAAATCTGTTCTTCTTTTGCAGATAACACCTGGTTGCTGCAAGGACAGTGTCCGACAGGAGAAATAAAGGATGTTTCCTGTCAAACTGTCATTCCCTTTCAGTTGCCTGGGAGCTGTGTGTCAGCTGAAGCCACCCTGGCCATCAAAGCGTGCCTCTACTACTGCAGCAAAGGTAGCAGTGCCTGTATGATGGCAGGAGTCTCGTTCAGCCAGCCCTTGCAGGTCACTGGCACAGACCAAGGCAGCTCAGCTCAAGTGGAACTGATGCACACCTTTGTAACCAACTAACACAAAGCCAGCTGATTTCACACTTGATTTTGCTGTCCACAATTTCTGTGAAAGTACAAATAGATTATTCGCTCTGTTTTTTCCTGGAGCTTATGACAAAGCTAAGAAATAATATGCTTGTTAAAATGAAGTAGGTTTCCCTACAGCCTAACAGGAAAATTTATCATCACAACCTCATTTCTTTACATTACAGTAACAGCAATAACTTTGTAATACCGTAGATTCTGTTGCCAATTGTGAGCATACTGGATGTCTGCTAGTCTTAAGAAGTGAGCAACAATTTTTAGAGTCCATTTGAAAGAGCTGGAGTTATTTTGTGATGTTACTGTAAGATTTTGCACTGTAAATAGTGTTAGAGTAGATCATTTTGGACTAACACTTCAAAATTCCTTTTGTGCCCTTATTACATTTTAATAGAATGTCAAAAGGAAGTTTTTCTCCAATCTGTAAAAGAAGTATCTTGCTTATTCTTCTTTAATGACACTTCTGACACGTGTATTTTGAAAATACACCTTAAACTAGGTGCACCTCTAGTTTTATGCAAACTGAGCATTTTGCTTTAACTCAACATGACCGCCTTACATGAAGAGCAAAAGTTCTTGGGGAATTTTCTGTGAAAGGAAGCATTCAAGTTCCTGCAGAAGAATTTCATGCTGATTTTTAACAAAGAATGTGCCTCTGCAATATGTATATGTATATAAAATAACTACCACAAAGCCATGCTGCAGCTTTTCTGATACACACCAATTTATATTTTTTAGAAAGTGGTAGGTAATGGTTGAATATCTACTGCAAAAATTAAATGTCAGCCATTTCAAGCAGGGTGATTTACTCCCATTTTTGTGATTTCTCTGCAAAAACTATTCTGAAAACTTCTGTCTTGCATATACGTAATATTATGAAGATTACACTCAGTCTTTTGAAGTCACTGTTAGTGCTTGGATTTGTTAGAGTGGCCACTGAACCAGAATTGTATACTTGATAATGGATTATTTACATTCATGTTTAGACCTTCTGATGTTTTGCTAGAACACTGGTAACCTAATCTTTGAGTAAGATGCGTTAAAACTCTTGCAAAACTCTGTCCTTGGTGCTTAAGTGTTTTGCAAATAAAATTCCCTCAATTTGCCATAGTAAGTAGGGGCAGGGTGATAGTGGTGGTGCAAGTTTATTACCTGAATTGGAAGAGTTAAGTTAGTGCTTAAGTGGCAATTGGGTTAGGCCCTGTGCTCTGGTCATGCTGATCAGTTCTGAAAAGATGATTTTAAGTTGAAAGATACTATTGTCACACATATTGTAAAGTGCAGTAGTGAAAGAATTTTTTAATATAGCCTTTTCTAGAACAATTACTCCTGACACCTGTCAGTAAATCCTCACTATCAGTTGTTGTTGCTTTTTCTTACTTAAAGGCTGACTGAAATGTTGGTCATGAACCCGAGAGGCTTTTGTTTAAAGGAACCATATGGACTGGTGTGGTTCTTCCTTCCATTGAAATGCCAGTCTGTCTGAGAGTTCTTTGTGGCACCAGAAATGGTTGTTATCTCACCTGTCAGAAAGCAAGGGCTGAAATGTTATTTTTCTTACTGGTTTTTAAGCAACTTTTCTAATTCACTGTTTCAGCTCCTTTGGGTAAGCCTCTCAATTCTCATGGCATTTTGAAGAGTGAAAAAGCTTTGCTACTTTGTTCACAGATGGCAAATGCTGTTGGAAGGATGAAGATAAAGAAACTGATTTGGGCACTTATTATTTTTACACTTTAGTAAAACTCGGTCTTTCACAATTTTTTGTTTGTCTGTTTACCTTTGGATAGTAGCCAGGAAACCTTCAGTGATCTTCTAGATAGCCTGCAGATTTTCTGTGGCTCTCTGAGAAAAAAAACAAGTATTAGGTTCAGAAATTCAGAATAAGGAAGCAAACTGTCACAGTTACCTTGAACATGCTATTCATCACATGCAACTTTTGTCTCTCATTTTGTCCCATCCTAGAATGGTTTGGGTTGGAAGGGGACTGGGAGACCATCTTGTTCCAGCCCCCTGCCATGGACAGGGACACCTTCCACTAGAGCAGCTTACTCAGAGCTGCACTGAGCCTGATTGTGAACACTGTCAGGGACTTGGCATCCCCAGCTTCTCTGGGCAGCCTGTGCCAGTGTCTGACCACCCTCACAGTAAAGAATTTCTTCCCAATATCCAATCTAAATCTTCCTTCTTTCAGTTTGAAGCATTCTCCCTGGTCCTATACCTCCATGTCCTTGTCAAAAGTTTCTGTCCAGATCTTGTAGCTCCTTCAGGTACTGAAAGGTGCTGGAAGGTCTCTCCAGACTTCTCCAGACCAAACAACCCCAACTCAAATTTTCAGCTAGAATGACATAATATTTTTCTATTTCAATTGGATCAAGTCATCAACTTCTGCCTGTATTCCACTATTAAAAAAAAAAAATCAAAAATCTGTTTTGTTATTGACACTTTCAATCAGTGTATTTAATGTTTAATGCAATATTGTAGTTACATTTTCTATCTAAATATTCTCTCCTTGCTCAGTCTCTGTGTTCACTGTGATTGGGCTTTAATCTGATAGTCTAACATAAAGTTTTGTTTGTCTAAGGGATAAGGATGCATATTCCCAGAGTCATTACTTCTGTTTCACCTTTATGTACAGATATTTGAATGTTCAGTAATTAGAAAAGCACAGATTTTTTTAGAGGTTATGATATTTAGGGATACTATATCCATTTCTTCCTCCAGGGTTTACAAGCTGCTCTTAAAATAAAGCAACAAGTGCTATAAATTGCACCAGGCAGATAAACAGAATAGCATGTACAAGCTACAGAAATATAAGTACCAGAAAGCATCTTCAAAATATGATGCAGAAAAATAGGAAATGTTACTATTCTGTCTAAATACTGAAAAATCAGATATATTGATGACTACTACCTCTTTCTGTGGGAACTTAGTTTTTTAGTCTTCTGTGATACAAAAATTCTAAGCGGATTGGAATGGCTCAGCACTCCAAGATTTGTGTCTCACAGTAAAAGTTTGTAATTCAAGGCCTTTTCCAAACATGACTTTCTACTGGCTTTAACAGGTTTTGCAGCAGACCTTAGTAAAGCATTAAATGACTATAGTAAGTCTCTACATAGAGTATTGGTTATGGTTGATTTGTATAATGGAAAAAAATTCAGTGGCATTTTAAGTTTTTTGTTGTAGTGTGTTTGCATTTCTGGGACAGCTTTTGGTTTTGAATGGATGTATTAATAATTCCACGAGACGTTTTTAGTAATTTTATTTAATTTCAATATAATATTTTTATTAGACTAGAAAGAAGATAATGTGGTTTTGAAGAGAGAGAATAATTTGTTTTAATAGCTCTTGCATGTTGTTTGAATTGAGTAATATTTTTCTGAAGTTTGCTCCCTTCTGTTGAAGGAAGGGTAGGAATGATGACTGTGTAAACCTATTGATGGGAACATATATTATGCACATATATTTATAGTTAATTTCTTTTTGTGTTAGATTTTTACATCATTTTTAGCTTCTCTGTTGGATGCAGTTCTTCACAGTTTGTGTTTGGCTCTCTCACATCTTCCACCTGTAGAGCATTATAAAGTTTGTATAATGTTGTGGTAGGTGCACCAAGCACCAAGCAAGTACAGACCAGGTGAGTAATACATGAGGAAGTAGTTTCATAGCATCAGGTAAATGCCTTATCTGCTTATCCTGAGAAAAGGTGCATATGGCTTCCAGTATATTGTATATATTCTTAATGCACTGATTTTATTTCAGTAGGAAAATATTGTAGCTGAAACCATGGGGAAAACTGTTTTGTTGAGAGAACATCAAGAAAAATATATTCCTAACCTCTTGCTCAGAGGAGAGGGATGATGAAAATGAGGAGACTTTCCTTCTTATGTAGGGCCATGTCCTTTTGTTCCTTTAATTATTGACTATTTATTTTAGCAAAGATAGAGGCATTATTGACCACAAATTTTCTTGACATTTTGTTTCCTAACAAGGTTTTCTATGTACATGGAAGCTTTAAATGTCTGACTTTCTCGAGTTATGAGTGATAGATCTAGTTTCAAATGGGTTATAGTTTAGTTGACAATAGCAGAGATTTATGTACATTTTTAAGATCTGTAATTTTTTAAAATCACTGGTATTCATTATGACTTACCTCGAAGACATATTGAGGCTACACTCTGACAGAAGTGTGAACTCAAAATTAAGTTTTCTTTGTTGTAGAATGTGTGAGATGTGCTGTGACACATTGTGTTCTCCAGACTGCATTTGTGCTACCTAAGGAGAATTTTCCATGCACAGCAGCTCATCAGTCACCCCTAGTAATTCTCCACTGAAATCTGCCCAGGTCACTTGCTCATATAATCAATTAATATTACTGATTTAGGTTAGCAGACATTTAGCATTCAGAATCTATCACTGCAATTTTCATTGAAGTTGGTTTGTCAGGGATTAGAAGAGCTTCTCTGTCCTAAGCAAATGAAGTATAGGGATAGTGACAAGTAATTGGACATAATTTTTGAAAATATGAGACCTGGCTATTTTTTAATTAAATCACATCATCTGTTTTTGCATTCAACAAGAGATCATTAATTTAGAAACAGTATTCTAATATTGTACAATATTCTAATATTTTACATTCCATTATGTTCATATAACCAAATTTGACTACTGTCTTCCATTAGAAGCAGCTGATCTATATTTTATAGTTTTTGTACTCTTATAGATACAGTCACTACTCTCATTTAGGATTAGGATTAATTCTTGTTCAAGACTCATCACAACTATGACTGAGTTTCCAAGTTTATCTTCATTTCTTTGTCATAAAATGATGGGGGATTTTGGTTAGTTTTTTGGGTCTGTCCTTTCCTCCTGTAGTTTCCACAGTGAAATGCAGCCCGTGTCTTGCTGCCGTGGGGAGATCCAAGCAGGAAGGAGAATTCCCTCCACAGCTCCTCGCCCCTCCCCTGCTTCAGGAATGGGCGTGGGAACAGCAAGCAATTCTAGATAGCATTAGAATGAGATGATGTCCTCAGGTCAGCTTCATCAAGCTTTGCACTGATGCAGCTGCTGTCAGAAGTTCTACCTTTACCTCTGGCCCTGTGCAGTGAGGTCCAGAAGTTGTTTGTAGCTGTCCCAGAGCATCCCATCAAACTTGAGTAGCCTGTGCAGGGATTCTGATGGCTCTTGGTTTCAGGAAACTTTCATACTAAACACTTTAGCTGCTTATGGGTTCAATATTTTAGCTATTATGTGATTTGCTGTCTTGTTGCAGGTTGTTTAATTATTGTCAGATAATTCACTCCTGCTGCAGATGAGAAGCTGGAAGCCTTGGGTGTGAGTTGAGGAATGTTTGTGTAGCTATAATTAAATATTGCTTAGTTTACCTCTTTGGTGGTCCATTGCTTTCAAGCATACCAGGGAACTCTGTCCAATTGCAGGCTCTAGGGCTAAGCAAAGAATTGCAAGTATTTTTAAAGTCTTGCCTAGTTCCTTTGAAACATTGACAATTTTGAGCTAAAGAAATCCCATTTGAAGAAAACCTGTTCATACATCTGCCTTAACTTAATGCTCTGTACTCAACATGCCTCAGAAGAGAGATATTCCACACTGTATTCTTTCCCATTTTAACTAAGGATTGAGAAATTCAACCCATCTGGCCATTGTCAGACTTCATAGAAAGTAAAACAGCAATTCCCAATTTGATTTTACATCAATTGAAAAAAAAAAAAAAAGCCTATTTTCCAAGCTTTTGATTAAACTGAAATACTGGGTTTGAACCATATGTTCA